GGTCATAAGGGTCATAAGGATCAATGTTTACGACCATTTTAGGATCATTTTCAAACGATCGTAAGGGTCATAAGGATCAATGTTTACGACCATTTTACGATCATTTTCAAACGGTCGTAAGGGTCATAAGGATCAATGATTACGACCATTTTACGATCATTTTCAAACGGTCGTATAAGGGCCATAAGGATTAAAGTTTAGGACCATTTTAAGATCATTTTCAAACGGTCGTAAGGGTCATAGGGATCAATGTTTACGACCATTTTACGATCATTTTCAAACGGTCGTAAGGGCCATAAGGATTAAAGTTTAGGACCATTTTAGCATCATTTTCAAACGGTCGTAAGGGTCATAAGGATCAATGTTTACGACCATTTTAAGATCATTTTCAAACGGTCGTAAGGGTCATTGGGATCAATGTTAACGACCATTTTACGATCATTTTCAAACGGTCGTATAAGGGCCATAAGGATTAAAGTTTAGGACCACTTTACGATCATTTTCAAACGGTCGTGAAGGTCATAGAGATCAATATTTTTAAAATTTAGAATGGAAAAGCGGACATTTAGAGTGGAAGAGCGCACATTTAGAGTGGAAGAGCGCACATTTAGAGTGGTAGAGCGCACATTTCGAGTGGAAGAGCAGACATTTAGAGGCGGCAATGAAATTAAGAAATATGATGTTGGCAAGAACTTAACAGACATGAAAGTAGTGGTTATATCCCAGAAAAAGAACAAGTTTCAATTAAAAATGTTATAAATGTACTAAGAACACAAGATGCCATTAGAAATAAAGGAAATGATAATTAAGTGCCTCGGCAATTTGTTTGGCGATGATGAGGGCCAAATTCATTGCTGTCTTGTAGCTTAAAATAAATAATAAATAATATGTAATAACTAAATATGTAATTTTAATAATATGTAATAAATAGTAATTAATATACATTATTAACAGCCCTGGACCATATATAATATAGTGAGTATTCAGAAATATTCATTTGTTGATTCAGGCTTATTAAATAAACTAATATTTTCAGTCAAATTTCTTTAATACTCGTTATTTACTAAGTCAACTTGTTAGAAACGATTCAATGTAATNGACAATGAGAACAGGAAGTAAAGGGAGGGTAAAAGACGTAGTAATATACGTTCTGTCTCTTATACACATCTAGATGTGTATAAGAGACAGTATAGTGAGTATTCAGCAATATTCATTTGTTGATTCAGGCTTATTAAATAAACTAATATTTTCAGTCAAATTTCTTTAATACTCGTTATTTACTAAGTCAACTTGTTAGAAACGATTCAATGTAATTTTTTAAACATTTAATCTCACAATATCTTGTAGAGGTCTTATATTGAATGCTATTTTATCGTTAGGTATAGGCTTTTAGTTAATCAATGTGTTGTCAAGTTAGAATAAGTGTTAGGAGGTTTGAATTGTATAATTGTAAGAATATTTTAGAGAGAACTGAAACTGTGCTGGGAAATTGCGGATAGGAAAAGGCAGCAGTTGGAACGCGATCGTGCACGCAGCTTCTGGTGGTGTGTAAAGCTAGTCTCTCGGAGCGAAGCTACTAGGTGTCTATTTGCCGTGTTACAGTCTTTAGTGTGAAGGAAACTCTTAATGTAAATGTAACGTTTTGTGCAATAAAGTATTTTACTGGGACCGTCATTTGAATGAACATTGAACCTGCCACTATACGCACGACATACATATTTCGACCTGCCACTATACGAAATATGTAATAACTAAATATGTAATATTAATAATATGTAATAAATAGTAATTGATATACATTATTAACAGCGCTGGACCATATATAATATAGTGAGTATTCAGAAATATTCATTTGTTGATTCAGGCTTATTAAATAAACTAATATTTTCAGTCAAATTTCTTTAATACCACCGAAGCAACAGTCGTGGGCAAATAGCCAAACTGTTGCGTGCTTGTATTAAACACAGCCTGGCGTATTCGCGGCTTTTGAAAATAAGCGCCCGACATAACAGCGCCGTTACGTCACAGCCACTGCTTCATGGCGCTCTACTCCACAGGCAAAAGCGTAAACCGCCGTCCCTATAACGCCATGCCCCGGCTCTCCCCCTTCGCAGCCAGCAGACGGCTTTTCTCGTTGCCCGATCTGTAATGCGCCTGGCGCGATGGAGGGACCTAACCTAACCTATCCTGGTGCACAACTGATCAGCAATTGAAGAAAGCCTTATGGCTGCAAAGGGGGAGAGCCGGGGCATGGCGTTATAGGGACGGCGGTTTGCGCTTCTGCCCGTGGAGTGCGGCAGGATTACGCCAGTCCTGCAAATAGCAAAGCAGGTTTACGGTGATCCGGCGTGGTCTGCGGCCAGTAAGGCTTACGGCGTGTGTAAGAAGTGATAGTATGGGGTAAAATTTTGTGGAGTAGGACCTGTTGACAATTGACTATTTGATTCAGCAGGCTGTGGAGTGAGGAAGGTGTTGCTTAAAGTTGGTGTGGGGAGATGACTCAGTTACCTACAGCTTCTTGGGTGTGAGCTGAGTTTAGTTATTGCATTATAGGGTAGGCGTTGGCGCTAGGGCTTGTTTACGAGCTAAATTTGTGGTGTAGGGCTGCACTCCCAGGTAAATGGATATGTAGTGATATTTGATGGACATTATGTAATATTAGTTCAGTTATAATCATCAGGTAATGCCGTCCATCATCCACTGTCCAAGAAGGTACCGATAATTACCATTAGTATTTCATATCTCACCCTTAGGGCCCCAAAATATAATACAAGAAAGTTTCAGTTAAAAAAAAATTATTTTATGAAGATAGTAGTAATTGATATAACAATATACTGAACATGCTATTGATAGAACTATATTCAGCACAAACTAAACTATTCTAGCTACTACAATTCCAACTTTCCTTCACACGCGATTAATTTATATAACGAAAATTTGTTATGACTTTTGATATGAAAACAAGTGTGCACGTCAACCAAGATCTAACATCCAAATTCATGCTGAATTAATTCCATTAACAATTCAATTGAAAGTCATTGATATGACGGCTTAACTTATTATGTTGATCCTATATTATTACCATACTGTTATCCTCATCATCGTTATAATAATTTTATTTTTTAATTTATAATATAAATTCGAATATTTTTCCACTCATGGAATATACATGTACGGTAATTCAACCATTGAATACTAGACAAAAAAGCGTCAATAGAGACCGCCGCCATCATTGGTGTATTGTCCGCGCGCTCCACCAATCACCGCCGGGCTCTTATGCTCGCAAGCTTCTCCCGAGCGCACGGCAGAGAAAACTCGATATATGCAAATTCTTAAAGCTTTTCCCGGTAAGATGTCGTAAAATATTGATTAATTAGGAATAAATATCAAAATTGCTTCGATAAAATCGTTGATACTGTGATAATTGACTCCATTTGATGCTTTGAGCATACGAGCACTGGTCAGTCATTCGAATGATGAAATTTTTCTTGAGTTACCCAAAATTTTACAAATTTGCTTATTAATCTATTTAAACGATACTAAGATGGATTACTGAAATTGTCGAATCAAATTCACGTTGAAACATTCCGGCGCTACAAAAAAATTCAACAAAGAATTTGAGAAATAATCCTATTTAGATATAATTGCCGGAAAAGTTTATTATTCACAAATATCATACAGTATAAAAAATCCGGTCAAATATTCAATTTTCTTTCGTTTAGATTAATATGAAAAAAGTAAGAAAAAATAATACATTTGAAAGATCGTCCTAGCGACGATCAGCAATGGAAGAAGTTCCCACCCTGAATTAGGTAAGCGCTTGTAATCGTGTCGCGCTACACAAGCCTCATCCAAGTAATGTAACGACAGGTTTCTTCACTTCTTAACGAGTTTTCAAAATTAACTAATTTAGCCAAGTTCATTGCAATTTCATCCGACAGTTCGAAACAAAATCTTTAGAGTTACAGCATCACTTTTTATGTTAATTACAGCAAGTCAAAATAATATATTGCCAAAGGACGTAATGAAGAATACAAAATTCACTTACATTGACATAGAATAGAAGAGTTGACGCTAGCGTTTCAACTCACCAGCTTCCCCACAGCGCGCGTCTTGAAGTGGCCCGTCGAATACTTAAATTTCGAAATTTCTTATGAATTTTTGGGGAATATTTTCTTTAATCAATGGGATTTATCCAGTAATTTATAATACTGATTTTATAGAATGAATATTTCTGCCATTGGCTCGTTGATAGAACCAGATGCTCGAGTCAGTACGCATGCATTTTTTGTATCAGTCATCATCAAATAATTAAAAATATACATATCTCATTCCAGACATCATCTACAAGGATGAGTCAAATCAAGCATATTGTTCAAGTTTTGAAACACGTTTCTCAAGCATGGTTTTTGATAATCTACTTTTATTCATGCATTACGTGGTTTTCTTGCACAGCACAATATTGCACAGCAAATTTGTACTTCAATATGTACGCTGGCTTGCGCAGTGGCCATAATTTCAGGAAATTAAAATATGTGAATCGTGTTGAATAATACCGGCTACATGACAGAGATTCAGAGTATCGTGTTCACCTGTGTTATTATCAGTCATTGATATTTCAATACGTTGTGGTGCGGGATTGATATATGCAAACTTTATACATGAGGCTACCAATGAATGATGAAGTTTTCTTTATCTTGTTTCGTAGAAAACGTCACCCAGCCAGGAACCAGGGCGTACTAAACTTGATAAACTTCTTGACAATTTGAAACCGAATTATTTAATTTATAGTCATTGATATGACAACATCACTTGTCACGTTGATATGACGTCACTTGTCAAGTTGATATGACGTCACTTGTCAAGTTGATATGACAACATCACTAGACACGTTGATATGACAACACCACTAGTCAAGTTGATATGACAACATCACTTGTCACGTTGATATGACAACATCACTTGTCACGTTGATATGACAACATCACTTGTCACGTTGATATGACAACATCAATTGTAATAATTAGCTGCAATCCGTCAATATAATTAGCTGTAATCCGTCAATATAATTAGCTGCAATCCGTCAATAAAATTAGCTGCAATCCGTTAATACAAACATATATATTTAGCTGCAATCCGGCAATACAAGCATATATAATTAGCTGCAATCCGTCAATATAATTAGCTGCAGTCCGTCAATATAATTAGCTGCAATCCGTCAATGTCAATCCGTCAATACGTCAATATAATTAGCTGCAATCCGTCAATGTAATTAGCTGCAATACGTCAATATAATTAGCTGCAATCCGTCAACATAATTAGCTGCAATCCGTCACTATAAATAGCTGCAATCCGTCAATAAAAAGACACTTAATTAACTGCAATCCGTCAATATGATTTGCTGCAATCCGTCAATACAAACACATATAATTAACTTGAAATAAACTATTCGTGAGCAGTCCACACATTCTGAATGTGTTAAGTGTTATATGATATAGTACTTATATTATATAGTACTTAAGTCTATATACGCACACATGCTGAAGCCTTAAATATGAATCTCGTTTACCCGCTACTTTTGACGGTAATTAAACGAGCTGTTACGGGGAGTAACTCAAGGCTGCAATGCACAGAGCTGGGCAGCGCTACTTTGAAATGTAGCGGCCGCTACCGCTACATGCTCTAAATGTGGCGCTACCGCTAAAATTGCTTAAATGTAGCGCCGCTATACCGCTCGTTGATGGTAGTGTTGGTGAATTATATGTTCGAAATCTACAAGCGTTCGATGACAAATTTTTGCTCAGCTAAAAACAATATAACTGCGTGACAGGGAGATTGTTAATGTCCATTGACCAGGAACTTTTTGCATGCGCTTTAATAATTTAACTAATTGATTTGAACGTCATGCAGTGTGCTGCACAATTCCAGTCTAGAGTCAATTAAAGACTAACGAGGCTAAATTGACTGTCGAGGCCATTAAACGCCTTTGAACTGAAGAGGTCACTCCACACCTTGGAATTTATGAGCCTGCTGTTCTAAAAGCCATGATTTTTGGATCATTTTAAAAGCAATTATTTTTGGATCATTTTAAAGCAATGATTTTTAGATCAATTGAAAAACAATGATTTTTGGATCATTTTAAAAGCAATGATTTTCCTAACACTCGCCTAAGCTAAGCGCCTGGCACGCATATGTTGTTCTCTACGCTGTGGTTTGAAAGGTGCAAAAATATTCACTTGAAATGTCGCCTTCAAAAAGCTCTGGGAAGTCAGAAAACTTAGAATTTGAAGCTATTTCGGTACCATTAAATAATATATATTGATTAATGAAACTTATAAACTGGAATTGTGGTTTGTAATTCAAGTGTAATTCAAGTGTTGATTTAATCCAAATTTACATGTAAGATATTCTACTATTTGCATGATGATAGAATACGCTTGAACGAACCAATTTTATTTTACTTGACGAGCCCATAAATTGTTTGCTTTTGTTCACTAACTAACAATTATTTGTCATGATTACGTTAAGCAGTCGAGTAATGACTTATAAGAAACAGATGAGTAAACAGTATCATTTTCTGCTAAGAGCGATCGTAAGTCCCGGCGTCGTTTTATTGCTTAAATATCAAGGTAATAAAACTTTTAATAAAGAAAGATTAATGATTTTACTTAGTAAATTTCATTTTATTTTAGTTCTATTATTTATTAAGTTTTCTTTCATGTTACAGGGCGAGCTGAGCGCCGTGCGTACGTAACGCACAGACGTCGCCGCGTGCATGCACCGCGAACGTCGGACTTACGTCATAAAACGTTTATAACTCTTAAGAAAAGTACGTTTTTTATAAGAATAGTTTTATGTCTTTGCCTCACTCTCACCAATAGCTTATGTAAAATCAAATTTAAAATCGTTTCAAAACTGATAAAATGTGTTTTTTTTTTTTTTGAATTGGTAGCTTGTGTCGTTTGTTGACCGACTTGTTTCTTGTGGGTGATTTTAATTACCGCTATTGTAGGTAATTAAAACATTAATTAAGTAATTAATGTCATCTGTTCACTCGAATACTTATATTGGTTCGCGCCTCAATGTCAATAATAAATTATTTAGAACAGAAAAGGCTATATCCCAGTTAAAATTTTGAGCCGAGACCGGCGCCGGGTTTAACCGGGCTGGTCGTGCTTTAGCAGGATGGAGCCGTGAAACAATAACCGGCCATCTATCCCTAAAACGTGGCTGCGCCATGGCTGATATAGAGACAAAATTCTAGCAGCTCGGCAGGGCCGGAACTCTGCGCTGTTTTAGCGCTGGTACTTGGGATTACCCGGCAGGGAGCTGTGCAGAGCAGCTAGCAGGCCGTGTATGGGGGGGTTTTGAGAGAGGGAGGAGGGGTAGGGGTTGGAAACAGTGACGAGAGAATGAACTTCATCCTCCATCTAGTCCATTCGCATAGCACGATATTTTGGGCCAATTTCCGGTGCCAATTGTGATATTTATTTCACGTCAGTATTTTAATACTTCGAATTACGTAAGAACGAATGATATGAAGCTAATGCAATAAGATAAATTACTAAACAAATTTAGCTCTAATACTCACTTACATCTAACTAACGGGATCATACGAATGGTTACTTTGTTGATTTTTTAAAATTAATGCATTATCAATAATATCTATCAAGTTCAACCACAAATATAGCTATTCCCCGATCATGGCGAGTCATTTGTTCCGTATTATAGTTAAGTAGTTCATAGAGCCTAGGCTGGTAAGGTGTCCGCGCGGTCCACTGGTACAGGCTTGAACTACGACGCGGAGAACCTGCGTTCGAATCCCGGACTTCAGTCGACGTTTACAGATAGTTCATAGCGGTGAGTAATTTGATGTGTATATTTCCTCGATAATTGAATTTGTTCGATTCTAAATTACGTTGCTAATGTCAATATGATGAGAATGTCAGTAACCAATGTCAATACAACCTGTCATTGCAAGAGAGAAGTCTAGGTGAGCTCAGAGAGAGAAGGAACAATTTTTTTTAAATCGTTGTTGACAAACGGTGACGCGTAACTGCCGCGTACACTGCCAGAGCCGCCCCAGAGCAGGCGTTGGGAAGGTTTGAGCAGGCGGTGCTCAGTAAGGGCTGCGTGACGGCAGGGCAGAGCACACCTGGGCAGGTACTCAGAAGCTAATTAGCGCTGATACGCGGCTGGAGATATCGTCTCTAAAGCGGACATTTCTGCTCTATCGCTGCTCTGTCGCGTCTCTACGCCGGCTCTGCAGCCGGCGACGGCCTGCTCTATTCCCTGCCCTAAATTTTAACTGGGATGTCAGGGTCTGGCAGCACATGAAGTATTTTCTCGTAGTTTATTGTCGTTCTTTATTTTTAACAAAGAAAACATTTAAAGGCCTGCCGTCTGCTTGTTTTTATTAAATGATAAAGGAATCATTTTTTGTGTAGGATTAGCTACGCGACTTACAAGATGCAAGGGTGTAAAACTGTCTTTAAATGTCTACAGATAAAAATGTAATGTTATGATAACATTACGTCCTTAAGTCTCAAACCTTCATTTCAGTTTGCGAAAAAGACTTCAATCGTAATAAAATCATCAATAAACTTATGGAAATTGAGGGATTTAATGATGTTTGTCTAGGTTTAACTTGTACCATAGCTGCCATATGTCTGCATTACCTGAGAGATAGACTGCAGTACGTTATTCGCTTACTTTAATTTAACATTTTGTCGTAGCAACGAATGCTGTATTACGAGATATGAATCCATATTAACGAGGCTTTGACCTCTATTCCCAAGGTTACCGTTCATGTTAAGTAAATATTTTGCTTTTGGTTTTTTGGAATTACAGTAAAAATGCACGAGTAATTACATTATGATTCCGTTGTCATCTTTGTATTTGCTCAGGATACTCGTATTTGTTTGATCTGTCAAGGTTTGTAAATCGCACCCAGCTGTTAAAATTGAATCTTTTACTGACATTGATTGGCAGTTCTTCGGTAGCGTATTTGTTGTATTAACGAACAGGAATTGCTAACCACTCTTATTAGCGAGAATATCTCTGGCTTTATCTCTGCGTTTCTAAAAGAGGTTTGTCGTGTGTTTCCTTGAACTAATACTCGGGTCACTAGGATGTATTTTACACCGTATTTTTTGTATAAACTTTAACGTCAAAACTCGTATGAAAAGACATGTCATTACAAACTGTTTGGTGCTCTCACCATAGTTAACTGTCGATCTGTTGGCTCTCCTTTCATCTGTTCTAATTGTATAGCAGGAAATACCTCGAAGGCTATTAACAAGGAAATAATTTTAAGCAGCAGTAGAGTTCTGTAATCGCACTGCCATGAGGGAGAAAATCCTCTCTAGTTAGCTTTTACATGTCGAAATTATGCAGATTTTGTACTCGTCTAATCGTTGTTTATGGGGCGTAGTGTGAACATTTTAAGTATTGTAGTACAACTCGTTTGCGACGACTAACAATATAAATAATCATTACCATCATCTCTTGATGCTTCCAGTGAGAATTTTGTCAATAATCTGAGACTCTTGAGTGTTAATATACTTACTATTGCTCGAAGTGATGCAAGGGTACCTATCATAACCTATCATAACCATAAGGGACCTACCATAAATCGTCTTGTTTACTAAATGCATATAATTCACTGAATGCATATAATGAATGCATCTAATGAATGCATCTAATGCATGTAATTCCGTTTACTGAATGCACATAATTCCATCGAAATAAATATTGAAATATTCTTGAAGATCCGTGTAAACGAAAAGGGCTAAGGCGTAATACAAAAGCGTATGAATGGAAGCTGATGCATGTACAAGAGGCTGGAAACCATCAAAGCCGACATCTTCTTAAATTAAACAATGTAAAGATTAACAAACACTGAACAATTATGAACTGAATTATCGGGATTATGTCCATCTTTGACCGGGTTGCTGGAAGCGTCGTTGCATCGGTAGTTAATCATAGCTATAATCATCACGAGATAGTTGTTCTCCTTCACCATTTTGGGTTTATTGATCATTACCTTTAGCTTTTGGGAATAGTTGTTTCATTTCCTTCGCAATCTCATGGTAGTTTATCATTTCTAATGATGTTTGGTGAACTGCAGTGAATCCACGTAAAGTATTGAACTGTTCGTTGTCTAGTCGTCGCACTCACTGGGCATTCAGTAGATCACGATCACATGTATTCATCTGATGGATGCAAGGATGAATGAATGATAGTAGCATCTGTGAAACGTTGGTTACATCTAAATGTAGCTTTTGAAGCTTGGCGCTGTCTATTTTGATACTTCATTAATTATGACATACGTGCATGTGGGTATGTAGGCTTCGTATACCGGATTTTTTTTATTACTTTTCTTATCGCAAGACTTAACTCACGATTATCATGCACTTAACTACATGATTATCATACATGATTATCATGCACTTAACTACATGATTATCATGCATTAGAAGAGCTCTCAGCAACTCGTTCGCTGCTCTGTACATCTGAACTCGACCCTGAATTTATTTAATATCTCGGTTATCACTTCATTCATCATACTCGCAAAACTCTGAATGATAGTATTACGTTATGATACTTTTTGAACGATAATGAATAATATCTTATTCATCAATATTTTTATAATTTTTAGCCGAGGTTTCTCACTTTGTGTGCTTAATACTTAATGTGCAGGTCTCTTTAATAATAACGAGACTTGAAGGTTCTCTGGTTCGGTTGCAGCGACTTACACGTCAATATTTTTTTTAATATAATGTATATCCTTAGCTTATTACGAGGGCATTAATTCATAAGTTTCTAAGCATTACTTTGACTGTAAGTGTTGCGACGGTGATCTGTGACAGTTGAATTTAGTGTTGGATGATAATTTTTTTTGTTCTTACACAATCACTTAACTGACATTTTTCTTAACTATCACCTAAAATGTAATTCTGTTAGACCGATTTTATATCAGTGATGAATTTCATTGATTTATGTCGTGCAGATAAACAAGTTATTTGTACTAGTATTATAGTGGATAAAATCTCATATTTGGCAACCAAAAATATTCGCGGTGACATCACTTATTTTTTTTATTTTATTTATTCATTCACACTGACACAGGAGCACACATTACAATGAAATATATAAGAAACCCTAATATAATAGCAAGGCTTCCCAGTGTAAATGCCCATTATCGACAATATCTGCAACATTCTCATTAAGTTTGTTTGTTAGCATGTCCTGTCGTATCCCCATTAATCAGTTTATTTCAATCTCTTGAGCAATGATTGTGAAAAAATCCTTGTCCTTTTTGTAACAAGTTCTTTAGTTTCTGCTGTATTTTCCTTTTTTTTACCATTTAACATTCAATATTTTATATTTTTATTAGATTTCGCAAGCATGTACTGCTCGCTGTTTTTTAAATTTATTACATTTATATATTTATATGAAAATCTTATTTTTTCTCAAATTGCTACTCCCGTATAGAGAAAGGATAATACTCAAACGTATAAACTAGTGGCAAAGTTAACTTAGAGCGTTGACAGTAGAACTTGAGAATGGATTTACCACATCAGAGCCAAAGTTTATTCAGTGCAAAAATTTACAATAAATCCTGCTGTTCTGAGATGCGTAACATGGAGGATGAACTAATACTTTTTTTTACACCGCAGCGCTTCGAAAAATTAAATAGCTTTGTAATTTATAACTGTAACTTGAAAATCTAACT